CCTGTCTCTCTGCGGTCAGACAACGAACCGTGCCGTCTGGGTTAAAAAGTCCCCGACACATACTATTGAAAATATTCAATAAAACTGATAAACAGCCCTATGAGCTGCATAAGAACACAATTGTTACAAAAATAATAAACTTAGAAAAGGGTTAACCATTTACATGGTCAACTTAAAGGAAAACACAACTGAGGTTAATTCAATACAGAGGAGCAATTGTGACATTTATTATTGCCAATAATATTATTGCCATATAGCACCTTCTCATTCAGAGGTATCCTAAAGAGCTTTAGAAACTTTACTCGTGGATTAACAATCCCGGGATGAGATTCTGTGCTGTCTCTCTAATGGTATGTCTACACTGCAGCTGGGAGTGTGTTTCCTAGCCTGAGTAGACAGACATGCACTAGTTTTACTCGAGCAACTGTGCTAAAAATAGCAGTGTCACCAGGGGTAGCCTGGCTGTTGACTTGGGCTAGCTGCCCAAGTACGTAACCGGGGGATCCAGTCAGGTTTGGACTCAGGCAGCTAGACCGAGCTGCCACCCATGCTATCCTTGGCTATACTGCTATTTTTAGTGCACTTGCTCAAGCAGCACTAGTGCATGTCTGTCTATCTGGGCTGGGAAGTACCCTCCCAGCTGCAATGTAGACAAACCCTAAGAGGTGCAGCGCAGACCTCATAGTCATTGGAAAGGAGGAGATAAGGCAGCTTTAAGACACTTTTTGTCCTCCTGATCCTGGGCTATTAAAGGCTCTGGAGAGGCCCCCAGCATAACTGAGATAGTGTAACTTAGATAGCCCTGGGGACCTGTCTAAGTTAGAAGAGCCAGACTGCCCATGGGGTACAGCACTGCCTGGAATTGAGCATATGAGTGGTCCTAGGGAGACAGCCTTGCTGCTGTTTCCCACAGTGCCTGTATCAAGGGAATCCTCCCTGGACCAGATATGGGGCTTTTAGGCCCTCTTTACATCACTCTGACCCTTTTACATGGCATTAAGGAGTCAAAGTAGGGGTGAGATTCTCACACATATATAG